CAATTGATTTCCTGGACCATTTTGACCTTCGGTGATCATCACAGATCAGGAGTATATTAATTATGGTCTCTCCAGGGTCACGAGCTTGGTTTCTGCAGTCACACCAGGGCCAAGTGTTTGTTCACTATCAGCTAGCAAAGGAGTATCAGCAGACCCAATAAACACAACTGTTTTCATCTGATCAATAGAGATCCTTTCCCTGCAGAAATCACCAACATCAGCAAGAACTAGTTTTAGTCAAGCAGCCAGACTTGTTGGCAGGTTTCAGATAAATGCTAATTTTTGTTGACCAGAAGTGCCACTGATGCAAAAATATTCTCAATGACTTCTTTTCTGATGATGTTTTGAAGGCATTTATCAATCTTCCTATCCACCCCCTCACATCAGAAAGAGGTTTGCTGGGAATCATCACACTAAGAGAACACTGAAGATTGAGAGATCAGGTTAAGATGGACTCTTTGTCACTAATGACTAATGATTGCCCCAAGCATTTAAGTCTGATTCATGATGAGCACTCCAGTGAGAAAATACCTGAACTATAAAGTCCTTACAGATAGTAATTTACACCAACAAAGCACTAAGAGATCTGGAGTAGACACCCAAACATTACGAGTAATTCTGCATCTAGGACATTTAGAAGTGTCTTTCCTCCCATTAAATTATTTAACCCTGTATTTGAACATAACCACAAGGGATTGTGGCATTGGGTCCTACCACACAAAGATTTTATTCAAATGTTGCCTTTTCAGGCAAGATCAGGCGTGTTTATTTCTCCTTTCCTGAGACGTGTGTTGTACTTTTGCCTATTATGGCACTAATCCCAGTTCATTTAAGTGTTTCAGCTTGTCTACGAAATTGAGAGCTTGACTCTGTTTCCTTGGGGGCTACCATGAAACTGCAGAGTTCTTACAGACTTGGTGTGCATGTAAGGTTAAGATGAAAAAGAAGAAAGAAAAGACCAAGGGTTGGAGAAATGAAAGCCAAGTAGAAGGAAACAGAAGCTGAATGGACCATTTAGTTCTACTCACACCAAAAGTCTGGGATCCTCCTGTTCTTCAGAATTTATTTTCAGTAATGTTTTCCTGCATTTATTCATTTCTGCCCATCCTGCCTCTTACTACATCTAGCACACCATTGGCTTAGTTAGCTTATACTGGGCTCAAGTTACACTTTGTTTTATGTATGTCTTCCTGCTAAATTGTGAACAATTTTATGCAAGAGTTTTATTTTATTAATTGGTTTCTAGGAGTTCCAAGCAACACAGTTTTAATGAATAAGAAAATCCTAACCCTTGCACATAATCTAAACAGTGCCTATCTAAAAACCTAAGACATATGAGTTTCAACATGAAAATGTAAATAATCTACTTTTAAACTGATAGAAAATTGGAAATTCTAGGGAGTCTCCTTTCTGGGTCATCTTTCTCAGTTACCAAGAGACAATCGAGCACAAATCCTTTCAACGTCAATTTCAAAATCAGAAAGATATAAAGCATAACATAATCCAAAACTCAGATCTTTCTTTAAACATCAAATACATAATACTCAACTATGATATCTTACTTACAAAATACTCATGTCATCTTAAAGTGCTTCTGTATTTTTTTCAAAATGTGAAATGACATTGAAACAAGGGAATTCTAGATAATGGGCATAAAATTTAGAAATGATTCAGACTTGAACAGAAGAGGCTATTTTAGGTGAATTAGAGGATGACAAATCAGCGAGGCTAAACAGGAATCAGGTCATGAAAGCCAGGCAGATTTCAAGTCATGTTGCTCAGTCTGAAATGTATCCTACCTAAGCAAGTATGAGCCCAGGAAGGGTTTCATCAGAGAATGCTAAAACAAGGCAGTCGCTCACTCAAGTTGACATGAGATAACATGTAGTTAGTGAATGCATGACAATGGGGGTACACAGGAGGCATACTGAAAACAATCATGATGAAGAAATATAATTTGTAGATCAAATGCCTGTGAGCTATGAGGAACCAGCTTTCTTGGAATGTTTTTAATAACCTAATTTGTATAGTCATATTTTCTTTATAGCTTGTTTGTAAGCATGTTATCAAGTAAAATGGTCATTTGTTCTTAAAAACTCAGATGAGACACTAAGCAATATTATCAATCATATTCTACTAAGGTGATTTTGTTTTCTGATTTGTAAGAAGCAAATAATTTCCAAGGAATCCAATTAAACTGAATCATGATCATTAACATATTTAGCATTAGGAAGTTTATTTTGCTCCATTACCTGCTTAAATTTTCACTGAGTCTTTAAGATCAGTACTAAAATTCAGATGACATCAGGTACACAGTCATTTAATCAACAATACAAGAGAACACAGAAGACAGCCTGAAAATTAGAGAAGCATAGACCCACAACATCCTACATTAAGAAAAGATTGAATATGTAACTGACCAAAAGTTGCATACAAAGACAACTGAATCTCCATTCATAGGCAGCCAACAATATATGAACAAATTTATTGACTTCAAACAAAACTTCAGGTTGTGCATTTTAAAAATTACAAACCACTTAGAAATGAAAATTAACAATGGAAGCAACCATGACTTTAAAACATGATGAGATGATATTAAAGAAACATTTCAAGTATTGTTTGAAAAAGTTTCCAGACATTGATTTGTGCATTTCCCATCTTTGCATAGTAAAAAAGTAAAATCACACACACACACCACTTGGTAAAACTCCACAGCTCTATGTGATTCATGTTTGATAACATGCACCTATGTGTACTGCTCATTTACCTAATAAGAGAAGTTCTAATTCAGTAGGCTCATGCACTATCCCAGGTGAGCAATGAATTTAGCGCATGTCTTCTCATCCACGTGTCATTACTTAATGCAACAAAAGTATGCCGGGTGAAATGGGAACTTGATCATCACTTAATACTAACTCTTTCTGGGTAACACTAAATGATATGCTTGTGCTTTGAGCTCAAATGAACAAAAAGTATGGCTCACACCACAAAAATCAGAAAATGGTATATGCAGAGAAAAAATAGGAGAAATTGAAACTACATAACCTAATACCACCAAAAATAATTAGAATCCCTTGTTTATGGTTGATATGGTTGCATTTCCTTCCATATTCATACACACATAGCTTAAAGCTTGTGCATTTTACATAAACACACAAATAATTTAACATTGGAGCATAGGTTTGGTGACCTACGAAGTTGCAAGTGTAACAAAAAGTTACACTAATATTTGCCATATGTACATAATATTTGGGGACCACTGTGGTCTGATTTAAAACATAACATCGCACATTTACAATGTTGTTTGTGAAATGCTCAAAAGTTAACATGTCTTGCAGCTACCATGGCTTTGTGTCTATTAAGTCACCACGGTGCCTCTGGAACAGTAGTGAAATGTGCATGGTATGCTTGGCAGCAGCTTGGTATCTCCTCATGATTAGGACCCAGCAACAGAGAGACACGAAGCAATGCAGCAACAAGAAGAGATACCATGTGATCTGAGTTTCCTGCAACTTTCTTCTGAGCTCAAAGAGCCATTACTACTAAGAAGAGGGCTGCAACTTGTGCCTCATGAAGCCAGAAGTAAGGCTAATAAACTAGCTACATAGCCCTAATGTTACAATACAAACATAGACTTAGCTCTAGAGAATGACTGCATACTTGTGTAGCACCTATTACTCAGAAAGCAGTAACAGAATGAACATGTCAGGGCTATTGTAGCACATAGAAATTAAGGTTTCTGCTTTATGAATGCAACACTTTCCCACTTACAGATGCCTTGAGGGAAGGAACACTACTGTTTTCAGCAGTGCCTTTTTGGTGAGATTTTTCCAAGGTCAAAGAAAAAGTTGTAAAGACTGATGTCACGAATCATGCTGAAAAGAGTCCCAGGACTCAATCTGGCAACTAAGTGGTGCCATGCAGAAGTCAACAGAACTGCACATCTTGTGACAGATAAGGCGGCCTTAGGGAAGTGGGGCTCTAGAGAGATGTGCACTGGAGTGAGAAGGTGCAGGTTTACACATTCAAAACAAAGCTTGCACCAACTGTCTTACAACTTGTGTACTTGACACTTGCACACAAGCTGTCTGAACAGAAACTGGTGAAAGTGAAGGAAACTCAGAGGGAAGGGGGAATTTTGGATTCTATTTGCAATTCTGCTTGGAGGGAATATGAATGTGTATATAGCAGAACCCTTATATCATCCAGTGCAACATTCATGGGTCAGCCAAATGCTCTGGGTCAGGCAAGCTTTCTTTAAAACACCACACATGGAATCAAGGCCTGATCTGACAATGCTGACAATGAAGAAATTGCCACATCAGCTCTTGTACCATGTAGGCACTGGGTTACTACCATATAGATTTTGAAGCAGGAAGACGAAGCATAAATGAAATATTGACAATAATAAACACAAATAAAATGGAAAGCTTAACTTTTTTCCAAGCTTTCAGGATTTAAAAATCATTATTTTTTTTTTATTTAAGGCTTGAAGTTTATCCTCCTTTCACATTAAAGACAGGGAAAGAAAATTATCAAAATCAAAAATAAAAAATGAGCTTGGCACTTTTGTGATTAATTTGAGTGGGTGTCTTTCTTACATTATATACATATGTTTATAATGACATCAAAATTTTTAGAGACTCATCAATACTTACATTTGCATTTACATATTTTTGTATTTCATATGGGTTGTTTTTCCTTTTGTTTATATCTGGCTTCAACATAAATCAATTTTCAATTGCCAAATCTCCCTGTGTCTGTGGCTACACCTTTTGCTCTTTATTCAAGCCCAACAATTATTGTGCAACATACTCCAAGAGAGAAGGACAGAGACAGAGAAGGAAAGAAAGAGAAAGGGAGCCAAACAATTTGGGAGCAAACAACAAACTCAAATTTACAGAGGCCCTTGTACAAGAAAAATATTTCAATACAGACAAGTGAAAATGATTTGTCAAAATCTCTTATTTCTATATTTACATTTATAAAAGAACTATACAATAGCATCATTGTTCAAATTCCAGCTCCCATTTCCAAAGGATGCTTGGTCCAAGAGAAAAAAAAAAAAAAAACAATGGGGAAAGTGAATCAATAAGAGCATGGTCTGTGGAGTTCTGCCAAGGCCCAGTCTAGGGTGGGGTACAGACATTATAAGGGGTGGGAAGTGGGAGGCACTGGGTAGGAATGAGAGGGTGGCGCATGGGGAGTGGGGAGGCATTATGTGACAAGGCTTAGGCAGCTTTTGGGTGTTTATGGATCATCTTTGCCTTAGGAATTCCATTGCAGGTTTTGCTGGGGTTTGGCTTGCTAGCTTGTTGTATATATGCCATGCAGTTTTTATCCTTTCAAAAATTTGATCTTCATGCCACTGGAGTTTGTCATTGGTAGTAAGAGAAAAAAATCATGCCAAATCACTTAGAAGATATTAAGTGCCAGCAGGCTGAGAAAAAAAATCATTTGCTTTATTTTTTTCTTTAAATGGTTCTTTTATTGCACTTTTTAAAAAGTTTTTTTCTCCTTTAGTTAGAAAAAAAAAATTCTAAAACAGTTTGTAAGGTGGTCTTTTGCTCCCCTTTTATTGACAAGTGATAGCAGGGGTTCTTTGAAATTATTTCCAGAAGAGACCGTTTATGTTTGTTTGTTTCATTTTGTTGACCCCGTCCCTGTCTCTCCAACGCTAGTCCTGTAGTTAGAACCAGCCGGTGTTGTTTACAGACTGTGCTCCAATATCATCGTTGCAAGTGTGTCATACTCAGAACCCAAGCGTGCAGGGCGGTATGAATCCAGGGCCGCTGACTCAGATAGGGCCTTGCTGAGTAGGGTCGAACCTTCTCTTCTTGACATTTCTTCCAGAGTGCGTCAACAGAAGATCAGAGTGGGGCAGGAATGTGAGGGTGGGGAGAAGAATCAACAAGATTAATCAGATGATGACAGGAGGTGATGAAAATAATAATGCTAGTTCCAGAGCTAAGTAATCAACTCACACAGAGGCAGCCTCCTGAGTAACTTGCACTGAAATGGAACAGCTAACATTGAGGAAGGTCCCTTGAGAGGACACAGAGGAGTGGGGCCTCCTCAAAGAGTACATGAGAAAACTATGCATGGGCTTCAAGGAAATTTGGCACAGAAATAAATTTATCTTTTAATTCCATTTACTATAAACTTTTGGAAATCCTCTGAATTTTAAGTTGTTCATTTTAAGTCAGAGGAAGACACCGTAGCCCAATTTATCTCTTATTTCAAAAATAAATGACATCGCTTCACCAGACAGAAAGTATTAGAGAGAGGCCTCTTCCACATAGAGGCTCTGAGGAGAATTCAGTTAAACTCTGAATTTCCTGTAGTTACTTCCATTCAACATTCTGAGCCCTGTACCTTTGTACTACAGGTGGCAATAAAGCTTTGTTTTATCCATTTGTCCTGTTGCCTCGCCGTGTGAGCTCTTACTCTGCCACAGAACAAGCACTTTCCATATCTAAACAACTGGAGAAAGAGTGCACAGTAAGATGGTACACTCAAAGGAGAATGGACACAGGCTTAAGTTAGTTAAGCAAAAGCAGCAGTTAAGCTTTGTTGAGAAGCAAGTTAAAACACCTTGATGGCAGTGTCCAGTCTCCTAAAAAGTGGGCCCTGTGTTTAAAAAAGAGGAAAGAAAAGAACCAGCAAGACACTACAAGGCAATTAACACACACCAGTTGCAACTTCCCCATGGTCTGGCTTCATGTGGGGCATCAAGCAAGGGGCTCATGCATTAGTCTGCATACTGGCGGGTGCAACACTGCTGCCACAGAGGCTTCATGCAAAACTGGAGACAGAGGAGTCCCCAGATCCATCATTCCCCTGCACACTCACTCAGGGTCAACTGGAAACTCTTAAAGGCCCTGAGCACCAAAAATATTATAACAGATTCCTCTTCCCCATACCTAATTCGAAATAAAAACATTACCCGAATTTAAAACACATATGAAAGTAGTCGAACAAGTTCCTATTACTCCCAAGATGGTGACCTTGATGCTTCTCTTTTAAAATGTCAAACAAAAACATTTAAATGAAACTTCCCTTTTTTGCTCTAAATCTTAAACATCCTCATGAAAGGTGTTTGTACATAGTGCAATGACCTAGCAGGTCATCACGGCAAACACTATTTGCATCTTACATGCCAATGGATATTTAAGAAGCCAGGGAGGAGAAACAGACTGCCTGACACTGCAAAGGATCCTAAAAGATCAGAGCCTTCAACCTAGTAACTATGTGTTTCTGCAACTCAGGAGAAGTGTTAAACTAGTGACTCCCTTCATGCAAATGCTGTATAAAGAGGAAGCAAATCTAGCACTGTGCAAATATATGACTGAATAACCCACATTCAAATTCCCTCATTCAAACGCAGATGGCAGATAAACTGTTATGTCCTATGTCGCAAGAACCATGTGGTATGTTTCTAAATGGAGGGATGAAACTCCATTTCAGCTTGGCAGCTGGGAAACCTCAAGTGCCCACAGCGTGCACTCCTTTGATAAGTTGGGTTTTGAAACTGAGATTGCACTTATACTCAGGGTCATTGGGTCAGATCACCAGGCCAAACCACCTCGTAGAACCTTGTATGTCCTTGGGAAAACACCAGTTTCAAGAGCTGTGTCTCTTGCAGGCTCCAGGTAGGATGCAGGCTGGAATCATGGGAGGGAAAAGCCAGTGACTTTGCGACAATCTGGCCTTTTAGTGAACAAACTGAAAAACGGCTATTTTGAAAACTGTCCAAAGTTTTCTATGTAAAGATTATTTTTGTTCAATTTTAATGAACTATTTCTTCTGAAACTCCCTGTAACTAAGATTCTGAAGGTAATTACCTTTCTCACTACAAACTGCAGGACACTTCTGGATCATAATATATTAGTATCATCCACAGACTTTACACTGACACCATTTTCATCAGTCTTTACCTGTAGAAAATCTACTTTCATGTGCAACAAATGAGGGGCTTGAAAAACTCACAGAAAAATATAATTAAATGGTAAGTTTATTTTGGAACAAAAAATGGAAATCCATAAATAGTTTTTAATAATATTTCTGAAGACACACATACACATATATATATATAAAATTAAAACCAAAGTGTAACAATAGCTATCTTAGAGCTTCAACACCTTTGGATCTTCTTTCAAAAATATTTATTTCCCTAATGTTGTCACTTCCTTATCGCTTGATGCTGCCCCACCCACAATCAAAATCCTCCCATCGATTCCTTCCTAAATTACCTTATACTGAGGCCCCTTCCCCACTAGGTTGAGTCAAGGAAATGCACGGCATCTTATGAGTCTGCCAACACTCCACCTGAATGAAGACGTGCTTAACCCTGGAAACTTATGCATTAAGGGACTCCTACATCTTACTTTGCAATAGAACATGCCATGGAATTCACAGAAGCAGCAGCTTGACTATCTCTTCATGGGAAGGTTAAACTAAAACACATTGACACTTCTGAGAAAATACAATTGACAATATTCAATTCCATCGAATTTGACACTCCAACAACTCAGCTTTCTTGCTGATAGCCTAGCCACGTTCCTTTATATTTTACTTTATGTATGAACATAAAGTCTTTCTTTTACCATGTTCAAAAACAGAGTATCAGCTAAAGCCATGTTTAGCATGAGCTTGTAACCCCAGAGAGGAAATTACATAAGAAATTTACATAATCATATTAAATTGACACCTTCCATGTAAGGAACGTGGCTAGGCTATCAGCAAGAAAGCTTAACCTTCATCGTTTCAAAGCTTTGGGGACAACTCTACTAACATAATGTATTATCTACTTCATAAGATCCAATGTCCATAAGACAGCAATGACTCCAACTATCTCACTGAACAACACCATTATTCAACTTTAGATGAATAGTAGGGTTTCTGCAAAAGATTCAGTTCATAACTTCACCTGCATGTGAAGGGGAGAGGAGAAAGAAACATGGCAAGAGCCAAAACTTCTGCAGATCCAGGGGAATACTGGACAAACCAGTGTGTTATGTGCTTATGTTTATAGGCTTTCTCAGAGGACCCTCAGGACCCAAACTGCTAGGAATTCAAGGACTGAATCCACTCTTAATAACCTCATATTTCTGGAGTTACGGGATTAACCAAAAGTTGCCAATGGATATCTGCTACATTAGTCAAGAGAACAGGTAAGAAAATAACCATCCACCCAAATCATAAATTCTATATCGTTGCTGGTGGATATCTTCTTTGCACTATCAAAGCTTTCAGGCTATCACTCTGCTAAAAACAAATAACCTAAATTTTTATTATTTTCAGATCACAACATTGATAAATATTCTTTACCATTTTACCCACACAAATGCATACATTTTCACACGTACAGTCATGCTTTTAAGAAATGAGAAGAACAATAAACAACATCAGAATAAAACTGTATTTCTCATTCAAGCTTGAGCAGAACATGTATGGAATGATGCATCTTTTACATCTAAATTATCCAGAGAGTCACAGCTTAAGCTATATCACAACAGGAAAAAGCAGAAATTTTTCACTGAGTAGTTAATGTATTTTTCTTTATTCTAAAGGCATACATATGTTCACATTCTTTAGGGTGCTTTGCTAACTTCTCTTCCATGGATAAAAACCTGATTTAAGGAGGGATTCTCAATAGTATGTTGAGCAGTATTTCAACAAACTATTTTCAACCTATGATTCTAAAAGAATAGCTTCCTTTATTTACACTGAAATAAGTGAAACACTTAAAGGCTTTAATTTCAACCAGTGATTATTGTACTTCTAAATTGTCCTTAGACTTACACTCTCCAAAATTGCCCAAGTGATGGGGAAACCTAAACAAACCTATCATTAGCTGAAAAAAGGTCTTTTATCATAAGAATTATTTGAAGTTTAATATAAACCACAGAATTACCGCTAAAGTCTATAGCAAATTAAGGTCCTCTTGCAATAACCAATAGATAGCATTGTCTTCACTTTCTAAATTTAAACTCCTTGACTTGTATGCTCAGGAGTTAGTCTGTTGTCTTTTGTTTGTTTTTTTACTTTGTTTTGTTTTTTGCTTCAGGGTATTATAATATTGGCTTTACATTGTTGATCTTTTTACGGACTTTTTCCTTATAATGATTTTTAGGGTCACAGGACATGAACAGGGACTGTCTCCTGGCTCCATGGCACATGTGCCCACACGGAAATCCCAAAGTGGCAATCAGCTCACCAAATGCCCACATATCAAACCTTCATCTATATTTTCCTGCTGCTCTGATGACTAGACATCTATCTCAGATAAAAATCACCTGTACTTCACCATGTCTAATCCACTAAAACGCATAGCGATAAAGGCTTTTCCGTTTCCCCCAAAGAGACATGCAATTCAAGCTGTGAGCTAGGCCAGGCTGCTGTTTTGAGGTCCTGCTACGGAACAATGGACTCTGATCTCCAAATGCTGAAATCATGAATTTAGCACTGCAAGTGGATGGATGGCAAAGCACACAGTTCTCTGGTTCTTTGGGCTCAGGTTTTTCCATGCCAAGAAGGCAAAAGCCTGGGCTTTGGCCAACCCAACTTTTCTTGAGGCATATTTACAAAATGATTTAAAGGAGAATTATATGATAATAACAGAGTATGGTGTTACTTTTTTATATAGTAATGAGATATTAAGATGTTCTTGCTTGAATTAAGCCAGCCCCTCAAATACATAATTTTCATTAGATGCCACATCATAGTTCTGTCACTATCTGGGAAACATTAGCATCAGGATGAGAAATTCACTTATGAGCTGCCCATTTGGTATGTGCATCTTTGAAAACACAGTGATGCTACAATGACTCTGACTAAGCAGTTCCACTTTAACAATTATCTCTGTGGAGAAGTACCATTTGATAAGGCCTTTCCAAGTCAATGGTACTGAAAAACTTACTCATTATATGATCACAAGTCAGCAGAAAATGTTGAATTTATTAAAATCACTTTTTGGCTACTTTTAACTTTAAATCAGCTTCTAACAATAACATTTTAGTTGGTTTAAATATATTGAAATCAGGCTTCCAAATGTAAAATACAGGGCATAAAAAAAGCAATTATCCAGACAATTTAGGGCAGAAAATTTTCCTACTTGAGCAAACAAATAAAGGAAGACGGGGTGTGAATACGGTTCATGATCTTATTTCCCCATTTTAACGTGTTTCTATACATGTAAATTAAAATTAATTTATCACAGGGAATATTTGGCACAGAAGAGCTTATCCATGAATCATATTAATCAAGTCAGCAAGGCATGAACATAACACAATGTGGTTATCCAATGAAACTGAGGCAAGGAAACAAACTCATAAATTAGGTTTAAACATTTCGATCATAATTAAGGCTTCTCTGTGATTACCTGGTGTGGTTTATTTGAACACCTGTATTTGTGTGATCAACTTACAATCCAAGCTAAAAGTCTATTATGACAACACACCAGGCTTACCACTTAGGTCATACTGGCCATTGATCAGAGAATATTAAGCATCAGAATGTTCGAAAATTTAAATGCCAATTTGAAACTAATTTAGCTGGTTAAAAAAGATCACTGAGAATATTTTAAAATCTTTTTAAAACTAATTCACTTTTGCAATCAGAAAATTATACATGTTACATGTAAATGTAATGAGCACTGGTTGTCAGACTCCAAATTATCAATGAACCATTGAATATTTTTGAACAGATAAAAGGAACTTATCTACCTCCAATGGCAGGTTTCGGATCTGGATCTTGTGAGCTGGAATGCCTCCACTGTAGAACTTTGTTTTCCCTGACGCCAGTGCATATGAATGCCTTCTACAATTCACGTTTTCCCTCTTGCTAGAGAAGAGCTTTGAGGTTCGTTGTTTCTTTTTTAATAACCCATTCCTGAGTAAAAATATTTATTCTTTGCAGTTTTTCTGTCAAAAAAAAATCTTGTAGCAGGAACTCAAAACTTGGTTATGTAAGCAGAAAAGAGAAGTGCCAGAGCCACGGAGAAGACATGCGGCATTGCTTACTTAAATCCCCAGCCTGTGCCCCCAAGGACAATAGCCGCTACCAGGATGGCACCAGCGATGGAGCCTATTATGAGATTGGTGGCACTAGGACCTGTGACAAAGGATCACGGGAAGAAAGTCATATGAGCCAAATCCTTTCATTACCACAGGGGAAAGGCAGTTAACTGGTTTCAGGCGGTAAACACCCAGCATAAAAGATGGCTGAACACTTAAACCACTCTCATTGACTTGGCTTAGTTGTATTTTAGAGGCTGTGGTTGGCAACTGCTTGCATTTTTACAGCTTTAAATCTGATGATCAGACTCCATTCAATTCACCTCCTGCATCATTCGAAATAAATGCCCATTTGCTATTGTTGCACGTCTTCTCTTCCGGCTTCGTAGTATCAGGACTCAAAGAAGTAAAAATACATAAAGAACACAAGTGCATTAAAACGGGTTCCACCTGACTGACAATGAAGACAAGAAGGGAAGGAGAAATGTTCCAAAAAATTTCTCTTCCAAACAACGTGTCAGGTTGTCCACATGTGAACAGTTTTATTCCTCATTTGGAGATGGTTAAAAATCAGATGTCATTAGACTCGTATAAAGAGCTAACTCAGAAGGCTTACTATCAAAGACATTCTCTCCTTCATGACGCTGGGTTCCAGAGACAAGATACAAAGCAGACAATAAAACTTATTTGAGTAATTTTGGGGAAAGAGAAAAGAATTACTCAGAATTGATTGAATATATAGTTTAAGTTCCCATTTACTATTAGGAGAAAATTAAGATTTGGCAATATTAGAGCCAGAGAACAGCAAGAAAGAACATGCAACATGAATGTCTGCCAGTTGTGAAAAACCAATTTATACTGCAGTAATACCTCCACTCACTCATTACTCTCCTTATTTTGGCATTTTAAAATCTAAGCAACACTAAATTTAGTACAAAAAAATATTTCAAGGGGCTGCTGCTGTGGCTCAACAGGCTAGTCCTCCTCCCCATGGTGCCAGTATCCCATATAGGCCTGGGGTTCATGTCCTGGTTGCTCCACTTCTGATCAAGCTCTTTGCTTATGGCTTAGGAAAGCAGTGGAGGATGGCTCACTTCCTTAGGCCCCTGCAGCCATGTGGAGATCCAGAGAAAGCACCCAACTCCCAGCTTCAGATTAGCTCAGCCCTGGCAACTGTGGCGATTCACAGAGAAAACCATAGGATGGGAAACCCTCTCTGTCTTTCCTTCTCTCTGTAAATCATTCAAATAAAAATAAATGAGTATGTTTAATATGAATTATTTTAAATATCACATCCCTTAGGATGCTAAAATGCAGAGGTAGTTTCCCTAAAAAAAATAATTTTGAATCCCTATTCCAAGGTCAATGTCATCAACTTCTCTGAAACCTCAAGTTTGCATGTACATTCATTTCTGGGTAAAAATAATTCCTCTTTCTGCTCACATCAGTGCCTTCTACTGTTTACATAAATGGATGCCATGTGTAGGGTCTTTAATCAGAAACTACTCAGCACTAGTGCAGAGAACCCGAAGAACAGGGGTCTTCAGTCTGCTGTTCTTAAGAAATGCCCTTAACACTGACCACTGAGACCCGACAGAATGTAAATCTCAGCAGCCTTCAGAGGTCAACCGTGACATGAACTAAGCAGGAAAAGCAATAAAATCAGTGAAGCTGGTGGAAGGCAGCACTCACTTCCTGCCAGGTGCAGTGCTGAGCACTTACCACGTGTCATCTCACTTCATCCCACAAAAGCCACATGAGGTGGGAACCATGACTACTCCTGTTCAACGGATGAAGGAACAGAAGCTTCTAGAAGTTAATACGGGATAGAGGCAAGATCTGAATACAGCTTTGACTGACTCTGAAACCTATGCCATAATCAAGAGTCAGCGACTATAGTTTACAAACCAAACTGAACCGTGTTGCCTGTTTTCACAAAGACATTTCACTGGAGTCACACTTTTTCATTGGCACTTGCTGATGGCTATTTTCATGTTAAGACAAAACTGTGACATACAACCTGTAGCCTGACAGCCAAAATCATCTGGCTCCTGGCACGAAGTTTGCTAACCCCTATTCAGATGAAATTTGACTTCTTTGACATGTCTTTTTTCCCCACATTTCAACAGAGAAACAAACATTGAGATGAATATTTATGAGATATATTTATGAGATTCAACACATAATCCATGAGAAATTATTTCTGATTGGCAATTATAAACCACAGAATAAAAATTTTTAACTTAAAAAAACATCCTCAGTGCCAAAAATACACATTACAATATTAATTAGATTAAGATATATTAATCTATATTAACCATATTTTAGTTTTAATAAATCACATTGACCTTCTTAAACAGTTATTGCAAAATTGAGAAAGAGAATGAAAAACCAATACACTAAGACACTAGAACAATTTGCAAATGAGGATTAATAAACAAAAACTATTTTAGTATATATATTCACTTATAGGGACTTACCTGGAACAATCAGAAACAGACACAAACTAAAATCAGTCGAAAGCACTGAAGACAATGAATGTTTATAATAAGGCCTTTTTTATTTTGGCTTAAGATTCAAAGAGATGACTATTAAAAATCATCCCTTCAGTTAGGACAACTCAAGAAAAGAAAATGATTGTCAATAGATACTTTAAAATGTATTGTGTTGAGTTTTAGGAAATTACCTAGTTTCAAGGAGAAGTTTCACTTAAACATATGTGTAAAACTGACCCTAGAAAAGGAATGGAACTCCTGCATAGAATCCATTCAGCAAAACCTGGGTCATATTTTATAGCACAAAGTTTTCATTGTCTCTAGGTATTTTCCCTGTATCTTATAGTTTCTAACAATTCAGGGAACCCAAAATTCTCTTTCTTATTGTTTTTAGCTCTCCTGGCTCTTCCACTTCATAGTTTATGCTGTTGAAAAATGAGTTAAAAGATCCAAAGCTGATCCAAGTCTTCCAAACCAGGGTAATGGAAGTTTTGGGCATCTTCAACACAAGTGTGACCTGTGGACCTGCTTCTCTCTTGATGTTCTTCTGGTGCTGTGTCTCTCCATTCCAGTGTGTAAGTAAAGCATCCACATGCTGCAACTAATTTAGACTGTTTGGTAAATGATATCATGATACATTAGGAAACCGATAATTCATTCCTGAGCCACTATGAAATGTTACAACTATCACCACAGCCAAGCAGAAAAGAGTGTGTGCAAAGTGCTGCTTCTGGCATTCATAAATGTTTTCTCTGTAATTAGAGAGGGAAGGGAAACTCGTAATAATCTTTCAGTCTACAAATTAGCAACCTCATGACACAGCACGCCATGGAGAGCTGACGCTACTCTGGGCGTGCAGATCAAGCATGGAGCAATCTAAATAAAGACATCATGAGAGCTGTGTTTGGGGACGTAATCGGCAAGTGGCACAGAACGCATTTATCTACACCCTGGATTCTTTGCAGACAAACCCACTAGATCAACTGCAGCTGTTCACTTATGCTTGTGTATGTTTAGATTAAATTTCTTTTTATTCTTAACGCTCCTTGCACCCAAATATTATGTAAACTTCAGGTTTGATCTATTAACCTATTTTATCAGAACAAAATGAAGGCAGTATCTTAAATATCTTCTTTGAATAAAGTCTCCTATGTCACCCTAAATAAATGAGAGAAAATATCAATGATTATCATTCTTATCTTTCAAAAGCACTACAATGGTTCATAATCTCTAGTTGATATGTGGACCTATTCAACGGGTGAAATTAAATTCCTTATAACAATGCTAAGAAAATATTGACAAAGAAGCAATTATTTTTCCAATAGATAGTAAAATGAAAAAAAAAAGGGAGGTTCATATTTTTTAATTTCTCTTCTAAGTGATAGAATTGTGGAAGTTTGGACTGTTGCTTAATTGGGAATATACCATAAGCACCCCCAACAATATTTTATGCCCCACATTGTTCCAGACAGGAGAAGGTTCAGTATTGCACGAGAAAACCACAAGACACAAACACATCCAAATCACACCACAAGTGGCACGACCACAGGGAACAGAGTCCACAAGACAGAGGTTGGCAGACACAGGTAACAAGCTTCATTTCACACACCAGGCACCACATAGGAATACTCGTAAACTCGTAAGATGCTTACTCTATTCCCCACCCTGTGCCTCCAAAAATCACCCCCAGGGCCAGAATGGTGCCCGCCACGGCCCCTATTAGCCTGCTCGTGGCCAAGTTCACTGTGTGGAGGGAAAAGGGAGATCTTTTAACAACGGAAATCACAAACTGATTAAACTAACACAAAAAACCATCTATTCAGGAAATTCTTTGAGAGTTAGTTAATGTCAGGATCTCTGCTTCTAGATTTGAAGATACTCAAAAAAAATTGAAGGATAATTTTGAATTTACCTTCAAATTTCACACATTCTATTTTACAACAAAATGTTTGGAAACACATTTATATGCACAAATAAGCCAATCTGAATGACAGCTACTACCAGATGTGAGGTAAAATTAAATGCAGTTCAAATTGCATGGAGCAAATATGTGTCTCAATTACAAAAATAAATAACAATAAATAGGTTTTTATAAACTCTCAAACTGTAAAATACACCTAAGAAGGTACATCTTAAAATTTAGAATATATCAGTTTCATCATAACTCTTAAACTTTTTAAAGTAGCTTCAAAATTAAGTGTACATTTACCTGAGAAGTTCCTAAAAATACCTCAAATATCTACAAAGTTTTAATTGCTGCTTTAGTCTATGGATAATTAGCTTTTTGTTTATAATCTCCAATATATAAATTATGAACCAGGAGAACCTTGGGGGCTCCAGGAAATCATATCAATTTCTGCTGAGACTAAGTGGTGGGCTCCTGCAGGGAAATGCTACCTGTATATCCCACAGCACTTCCACACGTGTTGCCTAATCTACATTGGAAAATGGGCCTTGAGTGGGTAGAGATGAGCAAGGTTTGGGGCTGAAGCCAAAAGGCCAATTCTTTAGGACTGTGTATACCTATAAGCATGTGGACACGTACAGTGTTTGTCACATTTCTATAAGAATCTAAAGTACTGGTTTTAAATTGCCTTACCCA